GGGTATTTACGTCCCGAGGGTCCCGTTAACACTTAAATAATAAACGGAAGACATATTTTGGAAATATATACATATACATATCGAATAGAACAACAAAGTTTAAAAGTTTGTAAATGAAGATGCTAAAATTTATATAACCTTTGCCAGTAATTACATAGAAAAAATTGTATGATGATGTAAGTTTAAAAAAAATCCTCTATTTTACCATACTGTAGCAACACCTATTTTTGTTCTTTAATGCAGAACGAAATATCGCAATGTTGTTAGATATCGAACAGTTTACAGTACAGATTATGTTTGTTGCGACGGTTATGCAGCGCCCCATGGCAGCAATGAATGTAGTGAACGTAAGTCAGATATACTGTATTTAGAAATTTGCACAAAAAAAGCCATAAAATTGTACGTGTAGGTAAAATCTTCACACATGCATAACAAACTGTCGAAACAGCTTAATTTATTTATCTCTGTACAGCTATATGTGCGCCCGCATGTATAAACGGAAGATGTGAAGGCCCCAATCTGTGCGTATGTGACGAGCAGTTCCATGGACCAACATGCGAATATAGTAATTATTTTATACTATTTCATTATTGTAATTTATCTTTACTAATATCACCATTAACATATTATGTAAGTATTATTATGTAATTATTATTTTAAAGATGCTTTAATTGTTCACGTCGTCATGTTGACACTAAAATAAGCCATTGTTGCCATTTGTTTATGATTTGATTACTTTAACATTTATTTTATTTGCAAGTTAAACTTTAGTGGTTTAAATTTTTACAACAGACATAAGCACTATTTAAGCTATATTTCGGAATTGAATTCACAAAATAATCATATAGGCCTACTTAATTGTCTTGTTCAAGGCAGGAATAATTATAGCAGAAAGTCGTCATTATTCAGGTCACTGGTCAGAATGAGACAGATTTTAGATAACTGATAAAAATATCACATGTTTTATCCAAGATTGCGATTCAGAGATTGATAACTGTGAAACCGTAGATTGTACGAACAATATGGATTCCGTGTGCATAAAATGTCTTTACGACATCAGTGACGAAATAAAGGCGTATGATTTAGTAGACGACGTGTGCAAACGTAAGTTTAAGTGAATTTGAATGTATTAATTCTATTTAATTTGCATTTATGTCTTTTGAGGTTTAGCAACAGGTCTTTAACGAATAAATTTAGTATTACATCAATCTTGATTTTATAAAAACCCTATTTGAACTTAACGGCTAGTGTTGCTGTAAATGTATATGCATTTACAAAGTGCCATTGCATACATTATGTTTCGATATTTGTCTACTAGGCCTACTATACATTTTAAACAAATGCATTAAAACGTTACCTTACAAATAGGCCATTATATAATTAAAAACGTGTTTATTGCATACATAGCCGCCTTGATCAGAGCACACACTTAAAGCTATAGGTTTACTACCATTACAAAATCATAATAACGTATTAACATATGTATTTCTAATTGTTTTTCTAACCAAAATAATATAAGTATAATAAGAATAATATAAACTGTACATGTACAACTTTTTTGACATAACCTTATCTTTTACGATTCATAGAACGTTGTTCGTGGCGGAGTGATAGTAAGTCTTGCTATCCTGGTTCATGTACCTCTCCCCAAGGAGTTCCCAGTTGTGCATGTGCCAATGGTTTTCAATCGGATCCCAACTGCATGAGAAGTAAGTTAATATTCCAAGTGAAAAAAAAAGTTTTGTCATTCTAATATTATTATGCTCATATTATAAATTATTCTTTTTTTAGTTACTGAGGCGCCAATGGTATCGCACTGCTCAGTATTACTACAAAATGACGACGTATCCAATGGAATATCTACAAGTGATTTTTCTTGCCAGGATTCACAGGAATCACCTAGTCCTATCTATTCATCCTTACGAGGAAATGGCTTAGCTGTGAATTGGCAGACACGTTTTACTGGTCCATCGTCTGCTACATATCCATTTCCTTATTATGTCAACGATTTTAGAGTGGGCGTGATTTCAGCAGCGGTCAATTGGAGAATTTTAAGAGGTGAAAAGTACTTATTTAGACCCACTAAATTGCGTTAACTTAGTCTGGTGTCCAAGTGGCTGTTACCGAATCGGCCGAGTAGTGCCCGTAATAAGCAAAGAATGTAAAACACACGCCATTAGCCCCATCATCAGATGATAATAATAATAATAATAATAATAATAATAGTAATAATAATAATAATAATAATAATAATAATAATAACTAGACTTACTATATGTCTGTTTGAACAACAGAAGATAGAACTTTTTCCCATTGCTTTAATGAGAAATGATGTTGAAATTGCAAAAAAAAAAAAAAGTAAAATGTATTAAAAAAAGTAGGAAAACTAATATGATATTAGTGAAGTGGAAAAAAAACAAAAACCAAGTTTACTGCGACGTTATTAGTGAGACTTGAACTATGGGTGCAATGGTAATAGAGAGGTACATTGTGGCTCAACCATTGAGCGCTATACTGGCTGACCTTGCATAGGAAAGTGCATTTTCAGTTCATAGCGATTCAATGACTGAAAGCAAAAATTGTTCATGCACATCACGGTAGTTTTGAGTTTAACCTAGCTGCAACTGGTTTAAGCGCTTTAGAAAACGAAAATTGCGTTTAATCAACTGTCAACAAAAAATCTTTAAATGGTCTACATAACCACACCTTACTGCGGATCGTCACCAGAATTGGATCATTTCATTTCACCATGAAAAACTATTCTGCAAAGTGTCATTTTTATCCATCTAAGTATAACTGGGACGTAAGCAATTTAAATGACCCTCAAATTTACACCCTAACCTAGATAGTCCCCTACACATAATAATATCTTCCTTATAACTTGGGTTAAACTTTCCTCAAATTTTCATTCGGATCAGTTCGAAATATCTGGTCTGGGACGTTTTCCTTTAAATGGTCCTCAATATTCACACCCTACGCCGGATTATATTTACAAACTGTTATAGAAAGTTACATTATTTTACACCCATCGAAAACGTTTTATAAATATTTACGTATGGAATCTCAAAAACCCTCCAATTTACACCCTTGACTGATTCGTCGAACATAATACTATCTTCCTTGTAACTTGGTTAAACTTTTTCCGAATGTTTCATTGAGATCAGTTGATCCGTTTTCGAAATATGTGGTCTGGGACGTTTTCCTTTAAATGGTCCTCAGATCTATCCCCTACACTGGATCGTCAAAAATTGAATTATTTCGGTACTAGACCATTACAAAATAACATAGAATGTTTCATTTGGACCCATTGGTTTTTTGTTTTTTTAGAAATATGTAGGTCTGGGTCATAAAAAATTGAAAAGGCATGATATATGGCGTGTGCTTCAGTAAAGTACGGAAAAATTCTATGCAAGGGAAGTGACGACCGAAAAAAAAACAGTGCAAAAAATAGGAAAAATAATGCAAAAAAAAAAGATAAAAAAAATCTCAGAACAAAAACAATGGCTTTTCCCAGTACTGCTGGGAAAAGCCAACAATAATATTAATAATAATGATAATAATAATAATAATAATTATAATAATTCTAATTATAATAATAGGCCTAATAATAGGCCTCATAATAAGCCTAATAATAATAATAATAATAATAATAACAATAATAATAATAATAATAATTAATAGGCCTAATAATAATAATAATAATTATTATTATTATTATTATTATTACTATTATTATTAATGACATATCAAACAAATTAAATAGTATACGCCTACGTGTATATATCGACACAATAATCTTTATTAGAATTTTGTCTAAGCTTTAGAAACTTTATCGAGTACGGTATGTCTTTATTTTACAGGTGGTATTGCAGTAGCTAATGGCAGCATTGATTGTAAATTGAACCACGATAAAGATGACCCGAATTTGAGCTCACACTCTTGTACACGATATGGACAATTAACTGAACCTCTTCAACACAGTGACAAGTAAGAATTTATTTACATATGGGTGGCGCCAGCAAGAGGGGTGGGCTGGCGGTGGATAGGGAGAGAAAAAGCAATAATGTTAGGAAGAAAAATATATATGTGCTTTTTACACCTTTGTAGAATATAAAGTATATTAATTAAGCATTTTAAACTCCTAAACTGCCATAGTTTTCAAGGGCTTCGCCCCCACTTTCACTGAAGTTTAAGTGACACCCGAACACTACGCCCATTTACTTCCGCTCTCGTGTTGCAGTAATGCTTTTCTTAATGGGTTCAAACTTTTTTTCGCACTTGCAGATTCCTCTTCTTTAACTTTAAAAATGTATATATACCATGTACTAGTAATTAAAGCAATACCGCAAGACGGTTTGGAGTTTATCTCTATTATATCATGATTTATTTACAAAAAAATATCTATATCTCTTTGGAGATTCCTTTTCTATCAAATCTGATTAGACCTATATATATATATATATATATATATATATATATATACACATTTTTATATGTATAATGG